ACCACCTACCATCCAATTGACCTTCGAATTGTTGCCATAAGCTCGTAAAGTTTGTCGTCGATTTGATACCTACACTGGTTAAGAGTCGAAGCGCGCTATAGCTGTTTTGAGAGAGGTGAAGTGTGGATAAGATTGAGTTGAGCGTCTCCGGGATGTCAGGAATGGTGGTGTAGATATCGTAGAAGGTGGCAATGCGTTTCCAGCCCTTGCTGATGAGGTAAACGAGGACGCCTTGTAGAATGGTCTTGCGTTGAACCATTATGGAGACGGCAGAGATGGGTGGAGCGAGGCTGTCACGATCGGTGTTGGGAAAGTAGTTGACGAAGAGAGAGGTGGAACCCAGTACTTGACAGCAACAAGAAATCTGGTACAATTGAGCCCTTTGCTGCACGTTGGGGTCTCCGATGTTCATCCACTCGTTCATCATGTTGCAGTCACTGGAAAAAGGAGGTCCCAGCAACACGCTGAAACCTTTTGAGCTGGACGCCTTTTCCTGAGATTGCAAAGCAATCGAGTTATGAGATTTTGGCAGCCCCTTTCAAATCAACTCCTTCACCGCACCTCCATGCAAAGCATGGTTTTATTTGCTTGGAAGTGTAACCAGGAAAACCAATGTGGTGTGCACTGGGTCAAATATTCGCGCTGCCCGACTTCAACCGTTGCATTCCTGTCTAGCAAACTTTTGAATATTTGGAGTAGTGGATATAACAGCGTGGATGAACACGATCCAGTGTGACATGACAACAAAAGACTCAGTCATGAATATCAATTTACTGTCCAACTATCAAGTGCTTGCTGCTACCACGAATCATTTGTAAGGGAGGAGAAATAAGATGGGCAACTCGCTGTTCCTACAGTTCCCGACTAGTGCCATTCCACCGATTAATCTTTAGCTCCTTTGATTCCCATGATAGCATGCATTCCTGATTGAGCAACAATACGCAGCTATAAATGCGGCGCTTCCATGACCAACCTCACACCTACGCCCCAAAAGGACTCTAAAGTGTCACAGTATGGGAAATCTCACTGCAGTTTGCATAAATGAATAGGAATTGGAAAGAGCACTGTGAGGGTTGATGAAACGACCGCTATCAGTTATGCCGACACACTCCCTTCCAAGCCGCCTGAATCTGT